AAAGAGAGAGAAATATATATATATATATATATATATATATATATATATATATATATATATATATATATAGTATATACCATATACATATCTATACATATATACACGTATATACACGTATATACATATATATACATATATATACATATATATACATATATATACATATACATATATATATATATATATATATATATATATATATATATATATATATATATATATATATATATATATATATATATATATATATATATATATATATACATATATACAGGGCTGGATTATCCTATAGGCTAGTATAGGCTGCAGCCTAGGGCCCCTCAAGCTTGGCGGCCCCAAGCTTGAGGGGCTTGGTTATAAAAAAATTGTTTTTTTATATTTTTATTGACAAACAAAAGATAGCTATGCTAGTTTATTTAAAGAATTTACAATAAGTTTACTTCAAGCTATGTAAATGTCGCTAAAATATATTACGAGTAAAAAATATTCAAGACGGGTGCAGCCGATTTAGAGGGTGGCTCTGTCTGAGGGGGCCCCATAATTTCATTAGCCTAGGGGCCCCAAAAGGTCATAATCCAGCCCTGCATATATATATATATATATATATATATATATATATATATATATATATATATATATATATATATATATATATATATACACATAAATACATATAGATATATTTATATATATGTATAATGTATATATACACAAATATATATACATTATATATTTACATTATATATATATATATATATATATATATATATATATATATATATATATATATATATATACATATATATATACATATATATATATATATATATATATATATATGCATAATATATATATGTGATACATATATGTAATATATATACATGATACATTTATTAAAATGTTATATATACATGATATATATACATATAAATAATATATATACATACATATATACACATATACATGCATATATACATATATATACACATATACATGCATATATACATATATATACATATACATTTACATATTTATACATAAACACATATATACACAAATACATATATACACAAACACATATATGCACATATACATACACACATACATATATGTACATACAGATATATACATATATATGTATATATGAATATAAATATATACATGTCTATATATACACATATATGATATATATATGTATGTATATGTATATATTTATATATACATATATATTCATACTTGTATACACAAACATTTATACTTATCTATGTATATCTGTATATTTATGTATAAACCCATACACCCATATCTTTATATATACATATAGATATAGATACCTATGCTTGTACACATGTATGAATATGTATATATGTATGTATGTGTATATATATATAACATTTGAACAAATTAACACAATTTAGTAACAAAGCTTGCAATCCTTAGTGATGATTATCTTAAATGTGTTAATAGTCCAATACTTGTATTTAAAAATATAAGATGGAACTTATTGACCTTTACCTAAGCGCAAAATACTTCGGAGGCCGTGGCGGAATTTCATACTGCGCAGCTTAGAATCCCACGTAACCATCAAATACTTAGCCTGATTCCATGGCGCACTGTGACCCACTCATTCACCTTCTTTTGCAATAGCCAAATCGGCAATAATGTTTTATTAATACTGCGTGGTTTATTGTCCTATTAGAAGTAGGTGTTTTTTATTTGTGTGAATTTGCTTATTTCTTGAAATTTACTGCGTACAATAAATATGTAGATTTTGTCGGGTTCTCGGTATACGTTGGTTAAATTGTATAAGCTTAATACCGCCGTGCCTCTCTTATTACGCTTCACCAAAATATGTCATCCTTAACGTGGTAGTATTTCCAGACGCAGGTGTATTTCGCGATTTGTAAAACTCAGCCGGCTTTCAATTTGATAGTTTTTCACGCGTACACTCGTTCTGACAGCGGCCGGACACGGATTTTTTTCTTTCTTTCTTTCTTTTTTTTTCCTTTTTTTTCTTTTTTTGTGGCGAGGGCAGGGCTTTCTGAAAAAGGAGTTATGATCAGTCGGGAGAGAATGATGTCATTTTTTGAAGTTTTCATTGGCTAATTTACCAGTAAGTAGCCATTATACATGGTGTCCGTTTCATAAATTTTCACTTATATCATTTTAGGTGTTATGCGTTGTATCCCATGAGAAACGTTTCAACACGTTAAGATATCAATATTATTTAATATGCTTTCAGTAGAGGTTTTGAAATAATGTTTTAATAGACACCATATGAACAATATAATTTTGCGGAGGAGTAATTCTTATTTTTACCTACGATATCCGAAATGATATAAATGTTGCTCATGTATATCAGCCGCTTCACCCTCTCCTTAGTAAAAATGTAAGGGTTTATGAAATGGTGAGCATACCTATAATCTCTTAATGCGCAGTTTGCATATCAGCTGTTGCTACGATGGATTTCGTTTGATTTAATTTATTAGGTGATGAGCATGTCTGTCACGCAAGAAGTGTCGAGCACTACCGCCACGATTCCCCGTCATCTTCAATATCCTCAAAGACAAGACAAGACAAAAAAAGAAAAAAATCGCCTGCGCAATCGTTGTTATATTGGTGGCGTATCTAATGAAATCTGAATGTGTTACTTCCGAATAACAATTGCTATAATCGGCACCGATGGATATGGAACGTATAATATACACAGTAAAATGCTTTAAAGGTACCGAAAGAAACTCGCACAGTAGCGTTTTAAAATTTCCGTTTAATTCTTCATGCTTCCTCTTGCCGCGTAGACTGCATGTGCCGTAACGAACCCTTATGCATAGATTTGATACGGTCATCAGGAAACTTTTGAAATGCATTTTCATATTAAAAAAGTTACTTTTCTCCAATCTTGATTTAATGCATTTGTATTGTGCGTCAATCAGGCAAAAAGTAATCTCGGATTTATACCGTAAGTGTGTAGGTGAAACATGGCTCATGCTCCCGTAGAGTTTCAGCAAACCCAGATTTAAAGTTATTTTAGTGTTTTTGTTCTATTTTCCTGTGTGTAAATCGTGCTAATTCCTCTCCAAAATACAGTGCGAAGCCGACTCTTACACATTTTATCAACTTTGCCGCCGTGAAATAAAAGTTCCGACACTCATCAACGAGTCAAATGCGACGGAAAACGATGGCAATACGGCGTTAAACTACGAAGGGAGATTCCATTCCGAAAAGAATTGTTTGGAAAGTCGGAGGCTGGTTGAAACTTCATATTTACCTGTGTGTGTGTGTGTGTATATATATATATATATATATATATATATATATATATATATATATATATATATATATATATACACACACACACACACACACACACACACACACACACACACACACACACACACACACACACACACACACACACACACATACACACACACATATATATTTTTATGTATACATATGTATATTAATATATACATATGCATATATATATATATATATATATATATATATATATATATATATATATATATATACACACAGGTAAATACCAAGTTTCACATACACATATATACATATATATATTTATTTATTTATTTATTTACCTGTGTGTTGTGTATATATATATATATATATATATATATATATATATATATATATATATATATATATATGTATATATATATGTATATATATATGTATATATATATGTATATATATGTATATATATGTATATATATGTATATATATGTATATATATGTATATATATGTATATATATATATATATATATATATATATATATATATATATATATATATATACATATATATATACATATATATATACATGTATATATATGTATATATACGTATACATTTATGTATATATATGTATATATACGTATACATTTATGTATATATATGTATATATACGTATACATTTATGTATATATATGTATATATACGTATACATTTATGTATATATATGTATATGTATATATCAATATATATGCACATATATGTGTGCATGTGTATACATCTATGTACATATATATGTACACATACATATATACATAAATACATGTACATATACCCATATATGTGTGTGTGTGTTCTCTCTCTCTCTCTCTCTCTCTCTCTCTCTCTCTCTCTCTCTCTCTCTCTCTCTCTCATTCTCTCTCTCTCTCTCTCTCTCTCTCTCTCTCTCATTCTCTCTCTCTCTCATTCTCTCTCTCTCTCATTCTCTCTCTCTCTCTCTCTCTCTCTCATTCTCTCTCTCCCTCTCTCTCTCTCTCATTCTCTCTCTCCCTCTCTCTCTCTCTCTGCCTGCATAAATATACATACATACAGATATACAGATATATATGCATGCATACATATATAGATATTGATATACAGATATAGATATTTGATGCAAGTTCCACCACCTAGGTAGGTTATCGAACAGTAAATTGTTTGCAGTTATGTTGAATACCAAAGGGACAGAGGTAACTGGCTAAACCTTTCCTTAATACGCTCTTACCCTTTCTTTCATTCTAACCACACCCTTCTTTTCTTCCCTTATTTTAGTTTTCCTGTATACATTGTTTTTCTTCTTCACATTTTCTACCAATATCCTCTCTCGTCTGCTTCTTTTTCTTCTTGATATTCTTTTCTCCTCTTCCTCTACTTTCCCATATTATCCTTCCAATACATTTGTAAAGTTATGTTCTTTGAAGATGTATTATTGCTCAACTAAATTATGTTCTTTGAAGATGTATTATTTCTCTACTAAATTTTGTTCTTCCTTTTCAGGCATTTTGGCGAGAGCAACGAATTTTACGAAGATGATGACGAAGACTACACTTATGAGGAAGAGGATTAGTCCTTGCTGCTGTTCTAATACAGTTTTTCTTTCTTTCTTTCCTTTTTTGTGCTCATGTATAATTTTTCATCTTTTTTTTATTTATTTTTTTATTAATGTAAAGTTGTGATCCTCACGATTAATGCCTTTGTTATCATTATCACTGTAACTACATTATTATGATTATTATTATTATTATTATTATTATTGTTATTATTATTATTATCATTATTATTATTCCATCTTTACTCTTCTCCTTTTTCTCTTTTTCCTTGTTCTTTACTGGGAAAGTACTTGAACTGCAATAGATTTACAATGATGCAGATAGATTTAGGGGTCTAACATAGTGCTATATTGTTTTTTGTTGGTTTTGATTAAAAGCCTGCATCAAGTTGCAGCTCTTGGTTTTGTTCAAGGGAAAGAGATTGAATTACCAAGTTTTTGAAGATACAGTTTATTTGTTTGTTGATATTATTATTATTTTACAATTAATGTTATTATTGTTGTTCTTATTTTTGTCTTATTATTATTATAATTGTTATTAATATCATCATTGATTTTTATATATTTTTTTTCTTAAAGTATTGAGAATTTGTAATTATAGATATATTTTTGTGGCTAATAGAGACATTTCAATTACCATTTTGGTCAATAAGGTTTTTTTTTTAATGTAATGAGAGGATCAACAAGTTTGTAATTGTGTTATTGAATTGGTAGTACAGGCCCTATTTTATTTTCTGTGTAGTTGTAATGTAGTCTCTTTTTGAGGTGCTTTACCAGTTGTTCCTAATGATAATGGCAACATTGCATAGTGAGATATACATATGTTTATAAATTATATATATATATATATATAAACACAAAACCTCTTGTGATGATTTCTCAATGTAATATTTATTTTTACATTGAGTAATTCCCAATTTACCATGGTGAAGATTATTGTTAAGAATGGTTTGCATATCATACGATATACACTAATCTTTGCTTTAGGGAAGTAGTGATGTGAAGGTTTTCAAGTAGATGAGAGGTTTTATCTTAAAATTTTCTTCCCTAGAATGTCTATTCTTGTTTGTGAACGTGGTGGATTTTATGCAATAATGTTAAAGTGCCATGTTTGTCTTCTTTCTTCTTATTCTTCTTCTTTTATTTTAGACAGATGTTATCAAAGAGACAGCTCAAAATTTTGTATATTAATGCTGAACTTTAGTTTAAATGAAGTACTGAAGTGTGATTTTTTTTTTCTTATCTTTATTTATTTTTTATTTTTATTTTTTTTTACAGTGCTGTTTATCCAATAGTTAGAGATTATGTGATCATATGCGAGAAAACTTTTCAATTTTTTTCTTTTTATTTCTTTTTATGATCCCTTTTAAAAAGGGACTGCCTGCCAGTTTCAGAGTAAGACTATAAGAATATATGCTCGAACATATGTGAATATCTCCTATCTCCCTTCTTCTCCTCTTTCCTCACCGTCTTCCTCTCAAGACATTAGTCCTCATTTTGGAGAGAAGGCTTCATAGATAGAATAACCAGTCCTGAATTACCATGAGAAGTTGTTCTGTCTTGATGCATGGAAAGTACTCACTTATTATGGCGATGATTTTAAGACCAAATGTGCATTGTCGAAAAGGAAGTGAAAAGAATCCCCCTCTCCCTCTCCCACTTCCTGAGAGGGAAATAGATTTATGTATTAGCACTTGCTGGAAGAGTAGGTGTGTTATCCTTGTATCCTCGTGTTTCTCAAAAATCAAATGCTACTTTAGAGGCGTGCCTTTTTTATTGGTATTTAAATCATTGGATTGCGTACTAAAGACTAAATGTTTAAAGCCATTATGAAAGATTTTTTTTGAAGAGAGAAAGCAAAAAGAGATTGTAATTTGCCGGTTGCAAAATATACTCTTTCAGATTCATTATTTGGATTATCATTATAAACTCTTTAATTGCTTGTTCTGGCTCAAACATTGGTCTAATAAGTACTCCAGTGTTATACATTGGTACCATGAAATCATATTTGCGATATATAATATCTGCCATAAAGAAATTATTATAACCAGGTTCAACACCCTGTGGTGAATAATGGTAGTAATAAAAAAAAAACTTATTAAATTAAAAGCTAATCCTTTTCTTTCTTTTTGTTTGTCTGATATTTATGCCTGTTTTATTTTTCTCTAACAATTCTTCTTCTTCTTCTTCTTCTTTTTAGTTCTAGTCGCACAGAGATGTGGCTGTGAATGTGACATAGGATAATAATAATTTAAGTGATAAAGTATTGAAAATGTTCTGAAATGTCAATATTTTTCATAGATGAGTGTCTTTGTATAAGATATAAATGTTTTGGTTTACATCTGGCTCACTGTAGAGGAGAAAAATAATTATTTGAAAAATGTATTGGTTGTGATTTCAATGTCATGTATATGGAGATAAAAAGTTATGTGAATCATTCTTTCACATGCCCTTTTTATTGTCCAATTTTATCAAAAACAGTTTTCAAGAGAAGCAAGCAAGAAAGCATTAAAGAACCTCAGTAGCGGAGAGTGATTTTAAGAAAAAAATAAATGCTTAATCTACTAGTCTTTACATAATCAGGATGTTTGTGTACAGGTGTATGATATATGGATGCAATTTTGTATTCTCACAAACTATTCCTAAAACTCTTCTA